GACCCTTCATTTTATGGAATTGTATTTATTGTACTCTAACTGTATTTGTGTCATTGTGTTATGTTTCTTTTTAAATTGGTATTTTAACATTGGTCTTATAAGATACGTTTGTTGTTTTTACATTGTTTTACATTGCCAATTGTGTTTGTTGAACTTATTGACGTCCTCGGATAGATTTATATTTTATTCCAGATATAACAATCATTTTTACATGGTCTTTATACTACTAGCTTCTCAAACAGGCTAACACTACCTGCCCTTTACATAGTATCAGCCAGGATGTACTTTGTGTTATTTAGCTGAAACGCTTTTACAGTTTACATACTATAAAACTATATTTAGCTAACTCCTACAACATTATATTCAAGATACTTAATATCTAATGTGGAGTTTACTCTAAGAATGATTTCAAATTCTGTTTTAAAAAGGTTTTAGAGGATAAGAAAGGCTGCTAACCGCAATTAGCACTTCACCTGGGGACCCACCTATTGGCCTTGGGGTTCCATATCTTGACATCGACCCTAATGTGGGTGGAAGTTGCATTTTTTAGTATGTAAAGCACTATTAGGGAAATACAGTTCTTGATGAATATATTTATCTTAATTATTCCTAAATGTTCCTTTAATATTCCTCTAAATAACAATTAAAGCCACTGAAATGTGACTCAGTGATGTTGAGTGTGTCATAACAACACTCAGTTCAGGATGGTAATGAGCATCTCTGTCACATGTGAGAGGTTGGGTAGTTAGCTGTGCCTGTTTCACTTTACAGATGCTGTTAAAATAATTTCAAGACGACTTGGCTAAATATTCATATTCCTAATTATCTATAACCATCTGTGTGTGCTCAGTCTGGATGCATGACTGACTCATATCCCTAAGAAAGAATCCTTAACCTACATTGTTAATTACTACATTTTAACTTCTGAGAAGCCATTAAAAGAATTATTGTTTGCCAAGTCAAATAAACTCTGGTATTCATTACCGAGACCATAAAACTGTGAGCCATAAATAAACATATTCAGCTTTTCTTTATCTGAACACGACATAAAAACCAGAGGGGAGAAAGAGATTTATTAAAAGTGGATATGTCACATTTATGCTCACAGGACTTGTGGAAAGATTACGAAAGATGTACTGCTAGGTTGATGTTGTTTTTTGAGATTTGGCTTTTGTGCGTGTCTGCATGACTTTAACAGGCTGTCTGATGCCTACTGAGGGTGATAAGATGTTTGTCGGAACAGCAGTGGGAATAACCTTGCTCTTTACAGCTGTCACTGACATGATATTCACAGGCCTGGTGTTAAGCTGCAGACCCAAGTGAACCGCACAGTATTGATTAAACACTTATTTGTACAAATTATCCCCTTTTTCTCCAAGGGCACTCTGTAGCCCTCTGCAATCTTCTGATTTGTCTCACCTGATGTTTTCTGAGAAGCACCCATGCTCCTGTGGCATATCAGTTAATGCTTTACGAGAGCACATAATATGCACATTGACCCCAACAAACATGACTCCAACCTTTGAGACACTTTAGTTAAAGCTTAAATTAATAGTTTGACATAGTGGGAGATCTGGTTATTCATTTTTGGCTAAGAGTTAGATGAAAGTTTGATTTCCCTCTCATATCTGTACGATAAATATGAACCTACAACCAGATAAAAGTTAGCCAAGACTGGAGGCAGGGGTAAATGGCAAGTTTGGCTCTGTCCAAATGTTGAAAAAGGCAGGTTACCTCACATTATATAAAACAAACCCTCTTTTATCATCTGCTTGATAAAGAAATGGGAACTAAATGTATAAAATAAATATGGAGCTGTATATATGAAGACTTGAAACTAGTGATTGAGACCATAACCATTAAGAAAATGGTAACTGAGGTAAAAAACAAGTGAGAATAAAGGTAATTTTCTCATATAGGAGGTGTGTGACGCAGTGGGTTGTGCGTTGTTGTTCGGATCAGGGGGTCACAGGTTCAAACCCCACTGCAGTCAGCATGTTGTTGTGTCCCTGGGCAACACACTTCACCCCAAATTGCTCCTGTGGGGATTGCTTGAGGTTTACCGCGTCAGGGTTAAAATAAACTGTATAGTTTAGCCATATGTCACATATTTGTTCCCTCTTAGTTGAAGTATAGCATTTACTTCCATATCTTATCATTAGATTACCAGGCAACCAGCCAAGTCAATACTCCCGGTCAAGAAATACCCTTACATAACTGTCTGTAAACCAACAAAATACATGTTGTTGTTACATTAAATGTTTTCCATTATTATCCATCCATTATCTGTCACAACTTATTATTTAAAGGGTTGCCATTCACTCACAGAACATGAGTAAAATAAGAAGATATAATGTTCAATATTATGAGATTGAGATGTGTTATTGGGTTATTTGTGGTGAGAGTCTGTTAAAATATTGTAAAACATACTCAAAAGACAGCATTTATGTTGCACTTTTATCTCTTTTTTTAATACAATTGGCTCACTCACACACACACACACACACACACACACACACACACACACACACACACACACACACACACACACACACACACACACACACACACATCAATGTCAGTAAGCCACCATGCAAAGCACCGGCCTGACATCTGGAGCAATTGAGGTTAAGTGTCTTGTTGAGGACACTTCAGAATGTGGACACGGTAATTAGGGAATAACCTGCTGAGCCACAGCCTTCCTGTCCTGTTACCTTTGGACAGAGCCAGGCTAGCAGTGGTTTAGTTTGTAATGCTAAGCTAACCTGCTACTGGCTGTAGCTTCATATTTAAAGTACAGATTTAAGAGTGTATTGATCTCCTAGTCTAACAATGGGCAAAAAAGCTTAGTTGAAAAACTGTTGGACTACTCATTTAAATATAAGCTTTACGGAATGAAAGACAGATTTAGGACTGCTTGACATTGGTGACAGCTGCTAGAACACACTGTAGCGTCTTTGACAGCTCCTGCCGGGTTACAATGGAAGTAATTAAAAGCAGTTTTGAGAATAGCTTGTTAAGTGCAGTTTATGGCTAATAATTTCAAAGCTCTCTAAGTGGTTAGAAATGTACATTTTCCCTGTATATTATTCCTTCATTTTGTAATCGTGTTTTTCAGTGACTCTATCCAGTAGTTAATTTACCTAGCGCATGTATAATTTATTATCCACTAATTATACAAGCGACATACTGCACAGTGCTTGGCTGCACATTAGTCTTCTTTCCATTCCAACATTCTCCTTGAAACACACTGTACGAAACGGACACACTGCCAAGAAATTAGATTTTGGCAATGGCTCCATGCTTGTATATTAATAGAAAAATCAGCGTCCAATATGAAATGAATCCCTGAAGTTGTTGATACCTCACTCAGATTTATTATGTGTGCAAACAGTCCGTTGTTGTGACATCAGAGTTTAACAGTAGCCTTCCTGCCAGGGTAATTTATGTCTCAGCCCCGGCTTTAATGCACTGTTAGTCACAAAGCTGTCAGTGTAACATTCCCTGTGTGTATTCTGGACCAGTACTCTGCACAGTGAGCGCAGTAAATCATCAGGATATGTGGAAGTTTCCTTTTTGAGCCTAGTGCAACAAAACATGCATGTAGAGAGGTGCACATTAACGCATCAATTCCTCACATCCTGGTGTCGTTGCACAATGCCGTCATTAAAGGGTTTGCTACTGAAACCTGCCCGATGTTAGGGACAATGAAGAGGCCGACAGACAGATAGACAATCAAGCGGGCGACAGCAGATAACCGTCTCTCAGGGAAGCGGAATTACGGCCATAATTAAGGCTGAATGGGGGTTTGGTTGCACATAGCCCTTTCGGCCACTTTGCTCGAGTGTGCCATTACCAGTTAGCATTAGAACATTCTATTCATCTCAATCATTTTGACCCTAAGGAACAGCAGAAACCAGGGAAATTGTTTTCTCTGATGGTGTATTTGGTGCAGAGGGATTGTAGCCCCTCGCTGAATAATGTGAGGGTCCTTGAAGTTGTGGTTTATATCTTCCTTAAGGCAAAGAACCCTGACCCCTAATTTGAATGGAACAAAGTGTTGACAGACGAAAAGGCTCCTGCTTTAGCATGAAATGAACAGATCCAGAAATATTGAGGTAATTTCATTAATTACTTGGGTGTTTCTTCTCTTGAAAAGGGCATTTTGTAAAGGGTGACATAGTTTAACCTTCATTATAATCATCATTTGCTAAATGGCAACAGGGGCCGGTTGGAACACGGACATTTTTCATTTTCTTTGAAGGTCACAGAAACAAAAATGGAACATCAGAAATGTTCGTTTTCCTGACCTGCAATCATCTATGTTAAAGCATGAATCAAAGTCAAGATTCTTTATGGCTTTCCTTTAAGTAGAAAGGGGGTCCGTGGACAAAACATATACAAAACTTAAAAAATGATACTTCTAGGTATTAGCCATAGGAATCTGCTACATTTCGATGTAAGATTTAAAGTCTGACATGAGTGCTATAAGCTATAATTTCAACACTGAATTGGGTCAATGGTGATTAGGGTTTGCACTGGGAATGTTTAATTTTGCTGTGGTATTTTATTCCTTAAAAATTGGCAGTTTTTCTTATCATATCTTTTGTTTTTTTAACTCGTGTTTGCTGGCAAATATGCACAATATTCATGGATTCACTAATCAACTAATTTTAGAAGTTGGTTTTATCCATGCACATTGATGTACTTATAGCTGAGATTGTAACCTTCTATTTGCTACTGGAGACTTGGTGAACATATTACACCATTTATTGGCTATTAATATACGATTGTTAGACAAACTATGAACCTAATACATGACCATATCTCTGTCATAATGTTTATTGAATTCACGCAAGTAATGCAACACTCAGTAAGTCAACTGATATTTGTATCTGCAATCCAGTGTTTATACGTTTTTGGTTTGTGATTACAATCAGAAACATATGGCTGTAATCAATAACACCCCAGACCCCTAAAAAACAGGTGTGAATACATACCTTTTTCTTTGATGCCTCTGACTTTTTGGACATATTTCTCAGTTTTTTGTGCAAGTGATTTAAAACCTGCAAGCAAGAAAATAGAGGTGAACTGTATGTCTTTAAAATAAAGTCCATAATTATTAAACGACCGGTTTGGAAAGCTTTTCCTTACCTTTGCATAACAGAAGGAAATCAGCAGCAGAGGCAACACATAACCAAAAATAAACGTGCACACCACATAGACTTTCTTCAGAGTTTGATTTGGCCACCCTTCCCAGCAGTAGGTTTGATTATCCCCCATGCGGAAAATGTTCTGGTAGTACATGACGGGCGCAGCCATGACCAGGGAGAGTATCCAAATCACCATCACCCCGATCAGCGCGTGCCTCGCCACACGGATAGAGGAGGACTTCCTGGAGTGCACAATGGCAATGTATCGGTCCACGGACATGGCAGACAGGGTGAAGATGCTCACCAGCATTGACACGGTGAAAACATAGTGGCTGAATTTGCAAATGAATGCGCCCAGGACCCAGGACTGCATCATGTAGACGACGGACTGGAAAGGGATGCAGAAGAGCAGGTAAGACAGGTCTGCGATGCTCAGGTTGAGGATGAAGATGTTGGTGGTGCTCCGTGGCTTCCCCGGTTTGCTCCGGGCCAGCACGGTGATCACCATGGAGTTGCCCAGCACACCGAGCATAAAGATGAGTCCAAACACCAGCAGCGTTATGAAATTATCCGCGCCGATGCCGAAAAGTTTCTCCCCTTCTTCCTCCGCTCTGCTGCGGTTCCACTGCTCTTCCAAGAGCCACACAGACTCCGAGTCGTTCATGATGTATTCTTTCTCCTATATATTAACTTGAAAATGATCTCAATTAGGTCTGTGCAGAGGTTTTAGGGGAAAAGGTTTGTTGTCCGGTGCGTCTCCATGCGCGCTCCTCAACACACTTGTCTTTCTTGCATCTTACTCAAGATTTCGCTATATCCCTTTTTCTTACGCCTCACATTAGTAACACCTCTAAACAACAGTATTTTATTCGCTGTAAAGCATGCATTGTCTCGCTGCTGCGCGTCTTGGAGTATCTCCTGGTGCGCACCTGATGCGTCTGCGCACCGTCCGCGCTGATCCGCTCTGAAACCTTGCCTCTTTGAGTGTGGACTTTCCCCCTTTACATTATAGCAAGGGGCAGGGCTGAGGCGTTCACGTCAGCACCCAGTACACCACCCTCCCATGGAATAGGGAACATTCATCAAATGGATACATTTTGTCATTCAGTTTGTATTCGTGTGCAACTGTAATTGGCAACATTGTGTACCAACAACAATCTAGTTTGGCTGTCGTGCTATGGTTGCCTTATTTGAGTTTCATGCTTGTTTTATCCCAAAGCAGAAATAAGATTTCCAAAAAAAAATGTATAACTGGAAAAGTATATAAAGCAAGTACTTCTGTTGTGTGTGTAGTTGTGAAATAAGTATTCTACCACAGTGTAGAAAAAAAGTCCGACATTTTATATACTGTATTTCTCAAGTAAAAGTTATCAGGTATTAACATCCAAATATATTCCCCCCACAACTCCCCCCCCCCTGCCTGAATTGCCTCCATTGGATTCACTATCTAACACTTGCGCTTCCATTGGCTAGTGTACTTCCAACACATTGTACGTGATAGGCTATAGGTTATCTGTTACCAGTTGATCAGAGCAGACTGGGCTTCCATTTCAGATCAAGACAGTTTATTTAAATATTATTTTATGCTACCAAATAGCATAACCTATAATAATATATTCAAATGTTCTTATTTAAATGTGATAATAATAAAACCTAGTAAGTATTAAATGCTTTCAAATAAATGTAGTGGAGTAAAATGCACAATAATTGCCTTTTAAATGTTATATTTAAAGTAGCATTCTCGAGTCCAACTAAATTGTACTCAAGCAATGTACTTAGTTACTTTCCATCACTCCAAGCTGTCAATAGTAGCATTGTAATAATGTGGAAAATACATTTTAATCTCATGCAACTTAAACACTTGTAAACAGTGCTGGAGTCTGCTTTGCTTAGAGATAAAGCCATGAGAGTTGTGTGCACTCTCATGCTCACTTTGTGAACAGGTCTAATTTCCATAGCCCATTCATTACAATTTGCTCTCATTAAAAACCAAGACTTGCAAATAGGTTTAAAGACTCTGAACAAGCACTGTATCATATCTGATTTGATTTATCTTTGGCTCCATCTTGGGGCTCATTTCTGTGTTGTTTGATTGCCAAGTAATGATTAAACGGTAAACCAGGATGTTTCAATTCTGCAACCTGCAATGACAGATGGTGTGTGACTCTTGGAATGAGTGGTTGATCACTTGTGAACACAATGTTGTCATATTCTCACTGTTTAGGTTGCTATGGTGAACTTATTAACAAACAGTGGCTCATTTATGAATCTAGCAGGCATGTAGTAACACGATCCTTTAATCTGAGTTGTTTCTGCGACATCGTTGTGAATATAAATCCAGTATTCAAACTCTTTTAGGCAAGGGAAGGCAAGGCATGTTTATTTATATAGCACCTTTCAACACAAGGCAATTCAAGGTGCTTTACAAAAATGAAAGACATTCAGACAAAGGCATTTAAAAACAGTAAAAGATAATAAAGAAACATTAAAAGAAAAAATACATAAATAAAAAGTACATGAATAAAAAGTTACAGTGCAGTTTAAGATATGAATAGTTCACACAGAAGTTCCACTTTACTGATGAACACAACGGCTCAGTTTCAATTAAAAGCAGCGGCAAAAAGAAAAGTCTTCAGCCTGGATTTAAAAGTAGTCAGAGTTGCAGCGGACCTGCAGGTTTCTGGGAGTTTGTTCCAGATATTTGGAGCATAATAACTGAACGCTGCTTTACCATGTTTAGTTCTGACTCTGGGGACAGAAAGCTGACCAGTCCCTGAAGACCTGAGAGATCTGGATGGTTCATCATTTAGCAGAAGGTCAGAAATGTATTTTGGACCTAAACCATTCAGTGCTTTATAAACCAGCAGCAGTATTTTGAAATCTATTCTTTGACACACAGGAAGCCAGTGTAAAGACTTCAGAACAGGAGTGATGTGATCCACTTTCTTAGTGTTAGTGAGGACTCGAGCAGCGGCGTTCTGAATCAGCTGCAGCTTTCTAATATATTTTTTAGTGAGACCTGTGAAGACACCATTGCAGTAGTCCAGTCTACTGAAGATAAAAGCATGGACAAGTTTTTCCAAATCCTGCTGTGACATTAGTCTTTTAATCCTAGATATATTCTTTAGGTGATAGTAGGCTGATTTAGTAACTGTTTTAATGTGACTGTTGAAACTCAGGTCAGAGTCCATGACTACACCTAGATTTCTGGCTTTATCTGTTGTTTTGAACATTGCAGACTGAAGCTCAGCGCTAACTTTTATACGTTCTGCCTTGCAGGACCGGCCCTGACCAATTTGCCAAAAAAAAATAATTCCAATGTTAATAAAATCACACAGAAGCTGTATACGTTTTTTGGGAGATTTATTTATTTTAACACAAATACAACATTAAAACCTATAATTGCAGTCAGCAGCCTCGCCAACACACCAGTGCTTTATAAAGGCCTATTCACACATGGCCCCTCCACTTGCTCCCTGCTGAGGTCAGACAGGGCAACAAGTTGCTCCTCTGCTGACAGGCACACAATCCACCTGTACTGATATACAGTCCGTGAGAGACTAATTGCCTCACCTTAAGAGCTGGATGTGTAAGAAGTACAACCCAGAAACATTTACTAATTTACTAACGTCCATCAATTTAAAACAAAAGCTGCTTTGCTGAACACTTAAACATACTATTTCTGGGTAGCGAAATATTTGCTATCAATCACTTCAGTCTTGGTTAAAAGCAAGATTTAGCCAAAATCCAACCATTAAAATACTTCAGGCCTCAATCTCACACCTCAACACCTTACCTTAGCCTGACTCTCCTAGCCTTTCTTGAAGCCAAATTATCTATGACATCATCATAAAACAGCTGTTTTGAGACCACATGGTTGATGCTTATGATGGATAGTCCACTGAGACGTTCTTGTCCCATAGAAGCTCTCAGGTAAGTTTTGACCAGTTTGAGCTTTGAGAAGCTTCTTTCAGCAGCAGCCACTGTAACAGGAAGAGTGGCAGAGATTCTCAGAGCAACCCACACATTGGGGTACATTTCTGTCAGCTTCTTCTCATGAAGGAAGGTCAATAGTTACATGTTTGTCATCTTCTTTGATGTCAAATGTGGAACATTTTTGCATTTCTGCAGCAAGTTCCCTGCCATCAATGTCTGGTTGTCCATCATGGATCAGAGCAGAGCTCAGGGTTTGACAGTGCTTTGGCAGTTCTTCGTTTGATGTGGTGGGAAAGTTGATGAGCACTCCAAACTTGTCATTTACCTCTTCAAGGTGCTGAAATCTCTCATCAAGTGAAGAGAGGGCTGTATCCACAACCACATTAAAAAATGTGATTTCCATTTTTTTAAGTGCATCATCAATAAGCTCATCTGGAGACTCATAACCAAACTGCCGTTTTGTGGATCTCAACCGCTTTTGTTTGAGAACAGACTCCACGTTCATCTCCTCACACATCTCCTTTGCAGTTGTCTGTGCATCAGAAATTCCAGTCCTTCTGTAGCAGGTGAGGGAATCTCCTGTTTTCTTCAGCAGGTCGACAGCCACATCTAACTGCATCAGTTTGCTCACATGCTGGATCTTGTAGAGCAGGGGTGGGGAACCTTTTTCCTCTCAAGGGACATTTCAATTTTTTCAACATCCTCCGAGGGCCGTACAAATGATTGACCTCTGCTTAAAAAAACTAAAATCACAGCCCATTCATTTGGCCTTTCTTTCATGCTGTGCAAAGAAAAAGCAACCTCTGAATCCAGATATCTTACCATGATGATGCATGCACGTGCACAGTTGTGGCATGAACACCAAAACAGAATGATATGGACACAAGATGTGTGTAAATGTATTTAGTTTCCTATCCATGTGGACATGATTTAAGTGGGGGGGGGCCTAACCTCCTCTAGGGGCGTCCGGGGGGCATGCTCCCCCAGGAAGATTTTTTTTTAAATGTTGAAGTTAAAAGCATCAATCTGGTGCACTTTGAGAGCAACATTAGGAGCTCTATGGATACATCTCTCAACACCCATATGAAACAGAACTGTAAACAGATTTACTTTTTCTTTATGGACATTTTACAAATCACTCCCCTTTCAAACTGTATTCTTGTTTATTAATAACAACTTTTTTTTACTGTCATATAGTATTTTATACCTGTTTACTTTATTATCTTATTTTTTTATAATAATGATCATATAAAGATGTGCCTTTACCTCACTGGTTGGAGAAAAAGCTTCTTATATTCGTTAGCATAGCTAGCTAACCAGATGCTAATAACAACAAAGTTATTGACTGTATGATCAGGATGACAGTCATGAACAGATCGCCACTGGGTTTTCAACTAAAGACACAGACACGCAAAAAACTGCGGCATGTGTGCGGCTCCTTATGGGTACTGCAATGTTTGGAAGTGTCGGAGCGGCGTTCTGGTGCTCCCCGTCAGCACTACACCCAGGGGCGGCGGGTGCTGTAGGCTAGGGAAGGCTAAGCCTTCCCAAATATTTGTGTAACTGCATCCTGGTAAAAATTAAAATATAATGTATAATGTGTGTGTCTTTGACATTAGCGCTGCTATGCAGCCACCAGTAAACTGTACGAAGCCAGTTCAACAGACCCTGGATATGTTTGAGTTATCTTAACTAACCCTAACAAACGAGATTTCGCTAAGTGGTCCACGAAGCTGGTTATCAACTCGGTAAATCAAGCCAGGGTTTCTCTCTCCAGCTGAGAACGCGTGCACGTGAAAGGGGCGGGGTTAGCTACATTTGACCAATCACAAACAGGGATAAGTGTACTGACAGCGCAGCGTCATACTTTATTAATGAAAAGTAAACTAATATTAGACAAATATTAACTTTAAACATCCATGACTTAAACATATAATCCAGGATACGAGCCACATAGTTGCACCTGCAAGGAGAATACAGAACAACTCGTTAAAAAATAAACTACCGAGTGTTTGAAAACAG